AGCATATATACTCAACATAGTTCCAACAAAGGGCTACTGATAAAATTCCTTATGAGCTTTGGATGCGCAAAATGCCTAGTTTGAAACACTTACACATTTGGGATGTCCAGTTGAGGCAAGACCCTATAGGACAAATGAAAAGAAACTGGACGCAAGGACTATTGTTGCTATTTATTGGAGAGAATAAAATTTTGGGTCTCGAAATTATTGAACGAACAGTTGAGGCGGTTGATAAAATTAGAGCAAGAATAAAGACAACACAAGACCGATAGAAAAGTTACGCTGATAGTAGATGAAAGGATTTTGAGTTTCAAGTGGGTGACAATTTTTTTGAAAGTAGTATCAATTAATGGAGTATTGAGATTTGGTACAGCAAGGGAAAGTTGATACAACAATATATTGGACCTTTCGAAATTCTTGAAAGAATTGGCGTTGTAGCCTATCGACTTGCTTTACCACCTGAACTCGCAACAGTGCATGACGCGTTCCATGTTTCGATGCTTAGAAAATATGTTCATGATCCTAATCATATGGTGGGTTATCAGACATTGGAGGTACGAAAAGACTTATCATATGAAAAAATCTTGACGATGATCTTGGATAGAAAAGTGTATCGACTCAGAAACAGAGAAGTTACTTGAGTCGAGGTCCAATTGAGAAATCATGGACTTGACGAGTCAACTTGGGCTAAAGGAGAGGAGCTTAAAACCAACTATTCAGAACTTTTCGATTAGTCAGGGTAATTTTCAAGGGCGAAAATATTTAAGGAGTGGAGATTGCAAAGTCCCAAAAATTCTCATAGAATATGTTTTTTTTAACATTTTGAAAAAGTTAGGGACTAAAGTGTACATTTATTAAATTTGTTTTTATATGGGTCAAATATTTAGATATTGATGGAGTAATGATAAGTATATGGATATTGGGCTCGTTGGATAGATCGTAATTAATCATGCTAATTAGGCTCGAGAAAAAATTTATTCAAATAAGCAAGGCCCAAGTTATCGAAATCGAAAGTTATTATCTTAAATTATTAATTAATTAAGTTGAGTGACACGTGTATCAAGTTTGAAGGTAGGTTGTTAATTGATTTTTATTAGATAAGGATTTTGTATAAAAAAAATAAAAATAATAGTAATAACGGGGCAACATATGTGCTAAGATGTTGAAAAATGTGTCAATTGCTTTTATTTTAATTTGCCTTGAATTTGGGAAATGGTAAGGACAGCCGCCATGTGATTGTTGAATAGAAAAGGAAGAAATTTTGAGGCTTTGACTTTGGGAATTGGTAGGATAGCTTGCCATGTGTCTGTTGGATATTAAATGTAGAAATTTTGATTATAGGAATAAGGTATTTTACATATTTTAATCCTATAAAATTTAATTTTCCCTTTTCAATTTTAAATACCATACAAAAACATAATCATTAACTACCCGAGAAGAAAGGCAAAACAAAGAGAGAGAAAATACAAATACGTATTATTGTGGTAGCAAGTAGAAATTAAAGATTTGGGAACATGAATTTCTTGTTTTTTTTTCCTTCTCTTCCAACAATCATTTTATCGATCAAGGTAGGATATTGAGGTGTAATTGTTTTATCTCGTTTAAATTATTTTCTTTCATGTTAATGGATTATTATATTCATGAAAGTTAAAGATATGTTATGATATGTATGATATGGTCATCCGATACCAAAGATATGATATGATATGTATTGAGCTCTTACCCATTTTCTAAGGATATGATGATGGTATGATTTTTCTTGAAGCATGAATTTAATATTTTTATTCGGAAGTGCATAATTATTTTAGTATGCTACTGAGTATTTCCATATACTCACCCATTTCCCTACCTCTAACAGATTAGAACGGGTCGTTGGTTGACGGACGATAAGGTGTGTTGTGGTGCCAGGATTCATTGAACTCAATAAAGTAAATTCGAAATAACGTGGCTGAAATTCTATTCCTAATCTAAATTTCATAATTATATGAATCTATTCATTTGTTTAGAATTTTGGAACCTATGTTTTTTTTTTTTTTCCCATTCATGACTTAACAATGATTGACATTTTTTTATTTGAGCTATTTAGTAATGATTTAAATTTATATTAATATTTGGGTCGTTATACTCAGGTTTGTATGCGTCCGGATATAGCGTACATTGTTGGGAAGTTAGGGATATATTTAAGTAACCCGGTAATGGATCATTGAAAAGCAGCCAAACGGGTCATGCGGTAATTACATACAAAAGACTACATGCTCACATACAGGAGATCGGATCAGTTGGAGATCATCGGTTATTCTGATTCCGACTTCGCGGGATGCCAAGATAGTAGGAGATCCACTTCAGGCTATATCTGCCTGCTTACTAGAGGTGTTATTTCCTAGAAGTGTGCTAAGCAGACACTCATTGCTATTTCCACTATAGCAGCAGAGTTTATAACGTGTTATAAGGCATCAAATCATGGAATATGACTGCAAAATTTTGTCACTGGACTGCGCATTATGGACAGTATAGAAAGACCACTGAAGTTATTTTGTGGCAATAAATCAGCAGTGATGTATTCCAATAACAACAAGAGCTCGACGAAGTTAAAATATATAGAGATCAAGTTCGTGGTATTAAAGAAAGAGTTCATAGTGACCATTGATGGTTTATTTATGATAAAAGTAGTGAAAGCCGCTTTAATCATATGTTGATATGATTGATGAACCAGATTGTTTGGGGATACATTCGATAATGATAGCAAAATTTTGAGTACTCATAAGATTATGTTTCATGCACAG